TAATGTAATTTCATTTCAAGCCCAGAAGTTGTTAAATTAGTTCAGCAAGAGTTAATTACTTTGTTCTTTCATGCTTTGATATGCTGAATTGGTATGGTTGTTACAGATTAATAGGCTATAGTTGATTAAAAGTATGTTAGAGAAATGTTTTGGGCAGAAATTTAGATCCAATGTACAGGAGTTTATGCATCAATGGAAGACATGAAACTGGCTACAATTCTGAAGGGACATTAAATTACTTGGTAAATTATTGTATGATGCTCTGAACTTTTGTTTAAAATTAGTGTGAAAAGGAGTATACACGACTGTGTTATTACACGTTAACAGAAACTGCAATTGCTATTACAATACTTACAAAGAAAATAACAATCTGTAATAATATATTACTTTGACAGTAGTATTAGAGCTGTTAAATTTCAGTTAATTAGGATTTGCTTGCATTCCATTCTTCCCTGATGTACTTGCTATTTTGTAGTGCTGATATAAACTTGAAATGAATGGCATGAACTTGAAATGAATGAAGTCAGAAATGAATGGCATTGATGAACTTGTGACAAAGACATTTGCAGATAATTACAAAATAGGAGTGAATGATCAAATATAAGTAATGTTTGATTCATTTCAATTCCAATCAATACAATGCTTGCAAACATTATTTTTCATCATCATCATAAACTGCAGGTGGCTAGGCCTGTCCTGTTCCTGTTTCCCAGTAGACCAGGACGCTTACACCTCCAGGCGTTTCTGATCTAGCCATATAATTGTTACAGTTTGTTTTTGCTCCTTTCTTGTGCAGATTTGTAATGACACCTGTCTACCTTCTTTTTGGTCTGAATTTTCTTCGCAGACTTTGTTCAAGAGTTCATTGTGAGTTTGATGTTGTTCTAAAGTTCTTCTCTGCCATTTTATTAATTCCATGGAAATTTCATCTGCACCTGAGCGTTTCCAATTTTTAGCTTTTATTAGCACTCTTTCCAGCTCTTCTTTCAATTGCTGTGACAGAATTTCTTGAACCTCAATTACTGCATCACTTATCCTTGGTCTGTCTTGTCAGGTTCACTCCATAATTCTCATAGTGCTCTATCTATTGTTCTTCAGGAATGAGATCTGTGCAGACATTGTCTCTTGTTTCTGCTCTGAGCCTCTTTATGACTTTAAAATCCATTCTTTGGGGGCTTGTGATGACGCTCTCTATTGATTTCACAAATTTCTGCAAATCATCTCTTTAATTTGCCTTGTTAACCTTGTTTCTGCTCTACATCTCTTATATTATATGTAATATTTTATAGTGTGTGACTGCAGATGTATGCTTTCTTCTGCCTCATGATCTCATCCTGAATTTCTTTATTCCAGGCCCTTAACCGTACTGGTTATTTTTCAAATATCAAATATTATTGCACTGATGGTTAAGGATTTAATTATTTAAATTATATAATAGTGAAATTATTAAGGTCAATTTAGGACCTTAGAGGGCCAGTCAATTAAGACACCAGGTCGCACATAGATCTTTATGAAATCATCAAGGACATACATGATAATTCATCACGCACAATTAAATTACAAGAAACATAATTATTTAGAGTATACAATTTTTGTATAATTGTTTTCATGCCTTGAGAAACTGAAGTAGTTTGGGCCATCCTTGTGGATATCTGTTCATGGTTCATGTTGTGATACTTTTCTTCTCCAACTTTTAGTTCCCAGGCTTCACAGGTATGCTGGGATTATGTCACCAGCTTAGGTGATCTCTCACTGTGGTGTGCACCTTACCTTCTGGTGTAGATGAACATTCTTCTGATTTTTAACCATCATAAATGCCTGAACAATTTTAATCTTGCTATATAATTCCTTTTACTGTACCACTGTAGAAATGCAAGTCATATATTTTTCATTTGTCTTGTGATCTTTATCCCTCATTCTCTTGGATAGGGATACTTATGAGGATTTCTTGTTAATGTGAATAGCTTGTCCATAGTTATTGAAAGCCATACATTCTTTGTCATTTGTTATTTGTTGTAATATGGTAAAATTAACTATTGAGTTCAGTATCAGAAAAT